TTTTCTAATAGGTAGCTTTTAAAAATGATAAATGGCTTCTAAACCCATTCAACATTAATAAGACTATCTTTAAAAAGGCATTTTCAAAATGGTGAGATGATTAATCTAAGCCAAAGTGTGGATACCAAACCATCAGGATCATCATCACCTAGAAACTTGCTAGAAATGTAAATTTTTGGGCCCCATCCCAGATGGAATGAATCAGAAACTTGGGGTGTGTGTCCCAGAGTTTTAACCATCTGTGTTGTACCTCTCCCTCCCGGTGCTTAAATGCTAAGGTTTAATAACCAACGACCTAAGAAAAACTAAAGGGTGTTTGAAAGAAAATGCTCTTGGGTTTGTTTCTTTCAACGTAAGTTTAGCTTTGGATTCCAACTGACCTTTCCTTCAGACATTTGCAGTCCCCGTATGTGAGCAAGACAGCCCTGTCAGAGAAGTAACTTGTTCACTAGTGGTAAGACATTCAGAGTGGAGCACAAAGCAATTCATTACCTTTTCAGTTGTAGACTTTTCTGTGTCTACCAGCCTTATCAAGAAATTCAGACTTAGTAGATTTGAGGTAAGGTCTAGTTATTTACATATTTGCCAGGATACCCAGAAGTGAGAAACTGCTGCCCAGGGAAGTCACATCAGGGCATTTAAAGAGTCTCAGATGGCCGAGGTGAACTGGGCAGAACAAGATACAGAAATAAGGGCAATGAAAGAAGGTCAGTTTGGAACCTTATTGCAAAGTAAGTGCAAAATCTTTGCTTGGTGGCTGTTTTTTTTTCCTGCTGAGGGCTGAACCCATTAATAATCACAAAGCATGCAGTATTTGCTTTAGGATTTTTCATACAGAACTATGCAAATAGCTTTAGTCGATCACTTCTTTTCTTCAGAGTACCTTGGAAATCTCATTAAGAGGGGCTAATCCTGAATTCAGTTTGGTATTCTTACTTTAATAAGCTTGTGGGAAAACCAACAAAAATACACAGGCACAGAGAAGAGCAAACATGATTAAGGGGTTAAGAACATAGCCCCCCAAGAAATGATAGTTCACTTATTTTAAAGTCACTCAATACATCTCATATTTGGTTTTGCTGTGGACTCATGACCCTCTACTGAAGTATGAAGTATGGGGGAGAGTTGAAAAGGCTGAGAACTAAGCATCAAAAGGCCTGAATTCTAGTTATGGATCTGCTGTTAACTTGTTATATGACCTTGACCTGGCAACCCCTTGACTTTGAGCCCTCCAGTTTCTTCATAAGGAGAGTCATATGGTCAATGTCAGATAGAATGCCTCTCTCTCTCTCTCTCTCTCTCTCTCTCTCTCTCTCTCTCATCTATCTCTATCCCTTACCATATATTGAGAATTAATAATATGGCTAGTAGTGAGGACCTCCTGTTTTTTAGCTTGAAAAAGTATAAAATAACTTAGTTGACTTCAAATAAAAAGTTTTAAATTAAGAAAACATTTAAATTAGAATTGTCTTAATTCAGAAAAAAAAAGACTAAGATGAGTGTAAGAACTCTTATTAAAAGGGTTTCATTAAGCAACTTGTAAAGAAACATGTGTATGCAATAGACAATCATCAAATATAACTGGTTTTATCTGGTCCTGTTTGAAGGGCGGGGGTGAGACTAGCTTATTTCTTGTAGGAGACAGGCATTGATAAGTAAAGGATGTTTGAACTGTCCCTAGAGGAACCAGGAAGTAAGCAGGCTAGTGTATTACAGATAGAGCCACCGTATACTTTGCTATACAAACTAGGACACTTTTAAGAGTAAAAGGGGGCACTACCAGTAATTACGCAGGACAGCAGGCATAACGCAGGAGTGTCCCTGGTAAACCAGGACCTATGTCACTTAGTGATAAACAATCCTCCCCAGGGTGAATACAAGGACAGAGTAAAGTCATCCACAACAAGATTCTGAAATGTAGCTGCCTTTCTGTACTGAGGCCGGTCACATCACTATGGGACCAAGCAAATGTGGAGAGTGGCAGATTGCGGAAACCCTGGCAGGTTATTGTGGGGTGAGCTGGAGGGGGCAACTTCAGGCAGGAGGGACAGAGAAATGCTCCCAGGTCTCCCTCTCTGAAGCGAAGTGCCAAACATGTGCCCTGGTTGCTGTCTGCTAAGTCACAGGACCAGACACGCCAGCCTGGTGCGTCAAGTGGATAGATGAGTGGCTGCGAATAAAAGCTTCAGGCCAATGTCAAGTCTACCAAATAGAGTTGCAAACAGCTCCCAGTTCTGCAAGCAAAGGCTACAGACATTAATCAAAGAGCAATCCTCCAATGTCGGCAGTGTGGGGAAGACCGGCCACTTGTCACGCTTCGGCGTCCTCGCCACAGTTCCACACATGGAGAGTAATTACAGTTAGCGGTGTCATCTGAGAGTTATTATGGCAAGGGATGAACTTGTCGACGAGCTGGATGGAGAGGATTATGTGCACCCACGTGTAGAGATACAATTTACCTCTTGCCATTTATATTTACTCCCAGAATCATAGGGAATCACTTAAAAATACTTTCCCTTTGAGGTTTTCTGTCTCAGGGTGTATATAAAATGCCTTACACCCAGGCCTGACTGCCTTATCTCCAGTGCCTCTTTATGAAAGCATATTACAGCCTTCCTAAATGGTTTGCCAGGGATAAATCAAGGTTCACAAGAATCACATATTATTAGGATGGTTCCAAATTCTGAATAATATAACCCGGCAGCATTTGAAGGCCGGGGGAAATGTCCACTCCTGGGAAAGATTCTGTAACACTTCAGATGGGAAATCAAAAGCGGGGGGGGGGGGGGGGGGGGGTCTTGCCATCAGTTCTGTCCTCGTCCTCAGGTGTGTGAGGTCCTGGGCAGGGAATGTCAATACAGGGTGGGTGTGGCCTTCCTTGATTGAACCTTGACCTTTGTAAAGTGTCATTGGCTCTTTTGATTGGTCTGACATAAACAGTGCTGGTCTTTCCAATAAAAACACACACACACACACACCTTTTTTGCTATTCTGATGGAGATAGTTATAAAAGGATCGAAATAGAAGTTATCTTTTTTTATGGAAGGGCAAGAAGCACAAAGTAGTTATTTATATGCCCTTTATTGACCTTTTGGGTGTTTTTACTTTAAGAAAAACAACCAACCATATATAATTGCCCCTAAAAGCAATGATGTCAAGTGTTGGCATTGGTTTTATGTTTGGCAAGATCAAGAAGAGGATGGGCCTAACATTCTCCTTTATTGGTTATAAATCCATTTTCAATATATGTTATGCATTTATTTTATAAAGCTCTATGTTATTCATTCACAAAATAATCCTTTAACTGGCATTATTCACTGAGGCCTCAGATATAATGAATACATTTAAAACCAGTCATGTGATCACATTAATATTTTGAACTAAATAGTAGTAGTAGACATAGACACCAATACATCGTTATTGCCATGGTGCTAATCCAGCCTTGAAACAAAGTATAAATCCCACAATTAGTTCACAACTGTTTTCCAGCACAGACTTTTCTCAGTAAATACACAAAAAGGATTTAATAAATTAACTACTTCCTAACTTCTGACAAAGTCGTCTCTTATGGAGAAGTAGTAATTTTTGAGGTCAGATGAAGTTTATGACATTTTCCCTCTCATTCTGAACAGCTGAGTACTGATCAGCATCTAAATCATGTTCTTTCCAGAGAAGAGAATCTTTCTGAAATCTGTTCAGTCCTCTTGGCCAAATAGATACACCAACATATGCAATTTCCTACTTTTCAGAATGGTAATGGTGGTATTTCAAGTAGAGTCCCAACCCTGGGTGGTATGGGGAATGCCTCCTGACATGTGCTTATTGCCAGAGCCTGGCCCTGCTGCTTAGGGGGAGATTCTTGTGGCTTCATTTTATTCTATTGGGATGGTTCCCATTTGCAAACATTTAACAATTTTTTGGCAGTTTGAAATTTCAATTTTGGCTTTGATTGTGTCAAGCTTCTCTTTTTTTTGTTTGTTTGTTTCGTTAGTTTTAAATTTTTACATTACGTCCTTGGACTCAAAGGTGAGATTAGATCCAAAAGGTAGTTTCTCTATAATCAGGAAACCAATCTTTGTTGATCCTGCAGGTTACATTAAAATGATGCGATATCCAGACTTTCTCTGAGGACAGTTGCCAACATGCTATGGCTAGCTTCCCATGATTAGAGCATCTAACACAGCTGTCCAGGGTGCAGGACCCAATGTTGACGCTTGCGTAGAAGTGTAAATAGCAGTCAACTGATTAATGACATAATGAGAATTTTTATAGGCACTTCTACTTCTAAAACCAGATTGCTCTCTGAACACTTGAGACAAAGCTTCTCTCACTCTCTGAATTGCCCAGTACACAGGTTCATTTTTCACTATTGATTTTCTCTACTATGCATCTTGAAACCTTCAAGATCTCTTGACCTACTCAAAAAAAATCTGTCAGTTTAAAAAGAAGAGTTCTTCAAAAGAATGCTTGAAAAATCAGTAAAGATAACAAAATAGCTCTTCCCCAACTATTAGCAGGGCAGCTTAACTGGACATTTTGATTAGATTTCGAGGAGAGAACAAAACCACGAACATTTACAAGAAGAGGTTTCATATAGTGAAGCTTCTGAGTGTGAATGCTCCTCTTGTAGGCATCCCCAGGGAGGTGTGATGTTTCAGCTAGTGATGGGAAATGGTGAGTTAAATCAGCGGAATAATCAGAACCGCCTCGGGTAGCAGAGTGAGGCGACACAGAGCAGGAGGAGGCACTGAACGGGCTCAGAAGACCCCTCTGCCCTGCCAGGAAGGAGGGCCATCCTCTCTGGGCTTGTGTCATTTATCGATAAAAACAAAGGGATTGGACTAAGAGTCTTCCCAATTCTAAAATTCACTGCTTCTATATCCAAGACGATGTGTACATTTTAACAAGGAAACCACATTAAGAGAAAACAATGAAAGCAAAATAAACACTTCTTTCTACTAGAAAAAACTTGAGGAATGTAAAATAAACATAATTTTTTTTCTTAAGACCCATCTTAATCTCTCTATATATTCCTCTCCCACCCCCGTTATTATTGAAAAGTAAAAAAAAAAAAAAGATTGTCTTAAGGATTAAATGCTCCACTTAGCTTTTTAATCATCCCTTTCTTCACCCCTGAAATATTGTCCCATTTACAGAAAACAGTGTCAGAAGCACTTTATTAATGGAAATTCCTTCGGTGCACGTCCAAGTAAAACAAAAACATCATTAATATCAGTGACATAAAACAAAAAATATCTAAAACCAAACAAACAAAACCACTTCTATGTCCCGAGGACTGACCAAACAGAATTGAAGCGAATGGAGACATTTTCACACGGCACTTGGAGTGTAGATTTATTTGGGTTTAAGAATCTCCTTAAACAAATTACATCAACCTCACTCCATTCCCTTCCTTAATAAAAATTATGACTGGACAAACATCAGGCTTCTAGAATTCTAAAAAGAATAGAAAAGTAAAAATCGATTTCCTACGGAAGTCCCTCTCCTAAACCTTACGTAGTTTTGCTGCCTCTGTGAAATCATTCTCTTTGGAGTAACCGGGTAGCATAGTGTTCTGATTTTGTTTTTAAAGTGGATTCATACAAGGGCACTGAATTCGAGCTTCAGCTGATGGATGGAGCATGAACTTTTAGGAAAAATAAGTTACTTCTGCCCGAAAAGGAAAATGGCCGGTGCAAGAACGGAAACACTGGAAGTCCGTTTCATGATGTAATTTAAGTCTTACATTACATAGCACACCTTCATTTAAAAAACAACAACAAGAAAACAGAATGGTATGAGCACTCTAAAATCATCTGCAGCACTTTGAAGGGTTAAACCTGCTTAACCCATTCTTAGTCAGAGAATGGCACCAAAGAGTCCAGCTCGCCCGTTCAGCGTGGCTAGTTCTACACCTGCGGGATCTTCAGGTTGTCAGAGCAGTCATGCACTCCATTTCCACCCCCCTCCCACCCGAATGATAGGATCCATTCATAGCTACTCACTACTGCAGGATTTGACCTGAGAAATGCTAGGATTTATTAACTCAGCAGTTGTTTTGAAACATCCCTAAATAATCTTCGCCCTTGGCCAGCAAGGGAACTGCTAGTCTCAAGTTCTCAGAAGCAGCTGGTGAGGTTCTCCGCCAAGTTCTTCAGATGCAGGAAGTTCTCCAGGACAACCTACTTTAACGTGGCATTGACGGGCCTTTAAACCAGGCTTCCTAGATCGAGGAAATGTTATTCCCGATGCCTTCCACCCCGGTGCTGGAGAAATTTTAGTTTTTTTAGAATCTGGAGGTCATCACTCCTTCTTTCCTTCTAGGAGCTGGCATGGTGGTTAAATTTTTCTAAAACAGTCATATTAATATGTTCAAAAATCCACTGCTGAGTCTCAGATAGGGGGTCACATCTGGCCATGAAAATCTTCTTCTCTGCGGGGTTGCAATCCATGCAGCTGTTGCTCACAGGATGGAATAATGTTCTGTCCTGGAGAGATCAGAAAGAAACGACTGACATAATATATGGTGACTGGTTAGAACCCAAAATATACAGAGGGAGCAAAATATCCCCGTTTATATTTTAGTCTATACTCCTGGTGTAAAAAATAGATTATCTCCCCAAATCAAACAAAAGCAGCTTGAGTTGCACATGGAACATGGTTTCCTGGGATCCCTCTGTACTAAGTAAGGCCTCCAAGCAGGTTCAATCAGAAGCAAAGAATTCGTTCATTCAGTGATACTTTTAAAAAAAGCAGTCCATCATTTTTTTACTCTGTGGTAGACATTTTGCTTCTTGGTTGGGTTTTGAAGATAGTAAGCATGTGAGGTTGCTTATCAAGTAGTTAATAACCTAGTTATCTGGGGGAGAGGCATGTATACAAAAATGATAACTTTGTCTATAAACAGAAACACACACACACACATACACACACGCATACACATACTAGAACAGTCAGAATTTTTCCTACCCTGTACTGAGCCTCTAACTGCAAGGGGAACTACAAAAGAAACAGGAACCAAAATGAGGTAGGTGCTCAGTTGCCTTAATCAGAAAATGAATATGGGGAAGGGGATAAGAGACACACAGGCAATATCTCAACCTACAAACTCAAATTCGTTAGCACTTGAACTTCAGTCTCTTCTCAATCCCTTTAGTGTCATTCCTGTGGTGCAATTCTCATTGCTTTCTGTAAAATGGAGGAGGCAGTGTTCACTTAAAAAAAAAAAAAGGTTGCTAAGTACATGATAAAGATAACAGCCCTCTGAATGAAAGGTACTGGGGGGCGTGGGCACGCAAGCGTAAGAGGCAAGCAAGCTCACTATCTGACTGGCTCTATTAACACACACCCCCTTTTATTGTGCAAGTAGAAAGAGGAAGTTCATTTAAGAGAAAAGGATCCCTTCTTAAGTAGCAATGAAACTTTTGTCTCTTACAATGTCTATGCTAAAAAAGAAAAATGCCAATAACATGTAAAAGCTTCCCCAAATCACTGCTTCAATTTGAGGGTCAAATAATGTTGTCTTATTTACCTCAGGACATGTTTAGAGGCTCTGTGTTCTTTCACTGGGGAATATTAGACTTGCAATGCTTTTGGAATCTAAGAGTTTCCCAGGCACCCTGTGCAAACATTGCTGGATTGCTCCTGGATGTTAAGACTCCACCGACCAATATTTGATGTTCTTTTAGGGCCCGGATGTTTGCATAGTTAGGCACGGTGTGAAGGGAGGAAGCATAAGAAAGGAGAAAGTCAGCTGCCTGCAATTTAGTTTTCACATTTCTAGTTTCAATGTAAAGAAAGAGCTGTGCCTAATACAAAGGCGCATTCTTCTGTTCTCTTTACGGGGTTCCTGAGTCTACTGTGGATTTTCCTTTTCTTACACAAAGAATGCTCCTGAGGCCTCCTTCCCACTCCTACTCTCCCCCACCCCCACCCCACCAACTGGGCTGCTGTTTGACTTCAGGGGAGGCTCTGAGGGACTGTCTCCTACTCTGAGTGGAGGGAGCAGATTCTAGGAGGAAGGAGAGTGCCCTGCAGCTCACCCCACATCCCTCTCTCTTGGGGTCCATCCTTGCCATCAAGTGGCTATCCCTTCTGATAGCCGCTGTAGCTCCCTGGGCAGCAGTGTCCTTCACCCCCTTGCTTTCATCCTTCCCAGCATCTCTCATGCTCAGCCTCTTTCCAGATTAGCAGCATGGGGGTAATGGATTTAGATCTGCTTTTCACAGAGCGTTCTCAAGCTGTTAAAATGCATGAAAATTAATTCTATGGACCTGCTAAATTATAATTCACTCCATTCCAGGTACAAGTACTACCTCCCCCATCTATCTGTATTTCTTCCTATTGTCACCTTTATCAATAGCTCAAGCGGGGACCTCCATATGTTTGCAGTTTCTCCCCAAAAACACATATTTCCATGAAAGCTTAAACAAGTACCTGTTTTTATTCTCTTTCTTTTACTGGTTTGTGCACCTCGGCGTGGATGCACAAGCCAAACTAGATTTTATGAACATTTTATTTTCTCCAACCTTATTTTCTGAGCCATAAGGTGATCATATTTTTTCCAAATCTCAAATTAGAACACATGCTCTGACAAATACAGGTATACGCATGGGGCCAGCCAGGAAGGATATGCAAATTCAGCACTACCCTGGAAAATCCAGAATGTGTGTTCTGCGATTGCACTTCATGTTCTCCTGAAAGTTGAATTCCCTAAATCTATCTATGTCTGAGAAACTTCATCAGTAAAATGGGGGGAGGGGGTGTGGATAAAATCAATCTCGAAGGCCTCTCCCAGCCATAAAATTGAATGATGCCCATTTTATGGCAAAGGTCAATCATGACAGAGACAAATGATGGGACATCAGAACAGAGACTATCAGCATAAGCAGTGCACCAACAGATTGACTGTTCTCTGGTTACAGACCGAGTTCTGCTCACCCTTGTCTGTGGAGTATCCAGTAGGTCCTAGAGGTCAAGCTTCTGGAAGCATCTTCAGCCTTCCCCAAGCATGCATTATCCACGTTTGACCTTTGGGGCTACATAATTGTCATCTTTATGTTTCTACTCAGCTAAGCTTTTTGATTATTAAATGTCTTTACTGATGCTTTTCCCGGCTGGAACTAAGTCAGTGGGTTGAGCAATCGTTGGTGAATATGGTCTCTTGCTCTATGACAGCTTTTTACTCCTCTACCCTTCATGGCCTCGGTCATGACAACAGATGGCTGTAACCAAACTGAATACAGTTTTTTTTTCTTTGGACTAGGCTTCTCAGTGCGTTGGCAAGTCTGTCATTCACAACAATCCTCCTTAAAGGGCTTTTTAAAACTGGACTGTTCTTTGCTCAGTCCCAGGGGATAGTCATAGCATATATCTCGCTGTTCAAAATGTAATTGCAACAAACTTCCTCTCCCATACTCCTTCCACCTTCCCTGACTGCTTCCTCCCTTGCTTTTATTTGTTTTTGTTTTTGCTAAGAAATTGGAAATTCTTGAGCAGGAAATGAAAAAAGTTCATGTCCAGGTTTATAGACCTGCCCTTCAGAATCAAAGCAGGTCAGTCAGTCCACGCTGTGAAAGGGGTGGGTGGGATTTTTCAGGTAGCTCATTTGAGAGGGGCATTTCTTCCAAGCAGGCCTGCGATTTGGTTGGCTTCTGTGTTATACTTGGTGGCATTTGCAGGCCAGCATTAAATTTTATTACATGTCATACTTCCTTAGGGTCTGAGCTATGAAAGAATGAGTACATTGTAGGAAACATTCCACACTGTGTTCAGATGAATAAAAGAACCAGACACCACAGATGCAAAGGCAATAAAGCAGGTGGGTAAGTTCATAATGCATAGGAAGATGAGTCTGAGACTAAAACTTCCACACTGTGGGAGGGGAAGCAACCTAGTCAAGGGCTGGGATTTTGTTCCACAGGGCATTTGGGCCAAATTCCAGTCATGCCCCTTACTTGTTGTGTGACCTTGAACAGCTATTTAATTCTCTGAACCTTAGCTTCCTCATCTGTAAAATACAGACATGATATCTATTTCACAAGTTTGTTGGAAGGATAAGAGTTAATATATGTAAACTCACTGGCACAATACCCTACATGTAATAACTAAGTAATAGTGATTCCATTTTCCACTTCTCTAATTTATTTTTAGCCAAGGAGCATTCCCTAATTCTAAAAATCAGAATGTACTAACCATCTGGTCTGAGACTAGCTATTCAAGACCTAATTACAATTTCTGAAGCCCTGGCAAAATAAAATTTGCAAACATTAAGGCCTGCCTCAACTAGTTATCCAACTTGATATACCAGAACCTTCTGTGTTAAGCAAAAGAAATTATGGAATAAAGGTCATTGACGGTTTTAGAATGAGCTCTTCTGTGTAATTTGGTCAATTTGTATGTGATCTATGCATTTAGGTCCTTTTCTTGAAATACAACATTATTCAGGTCGGTTGAGTTCAACAAATACTTATTAAGTGCCTATTATTTTCTGATATGTATTAGGAGATAGGCATAGAAAGATAAGATGTATTCTCCTGACCCAAGAAGTTGGGGAAACCAATAGGTAAACAAGAAATGTTTGAAGTAAAAAAAAAAATATCAATAAGATTGTAGACTTTGGGGAATAGAATGGATTGGGATATTTCAGACATAGAGAAAAACATGTGAAAAGAGAAATGTGAAATAACATGTACATCTATGCATTCAATTTATTCAACAAAAATTCATTTGAAACCTACTATTTATCAGGTACTGTTTTGGGGGGTTAAAATTTACCAATAAACTTAAGAAGGTAAATATTCCCTGCCTTCTGAAACTTACATGTTAGAGGGAGGGGTAAAGGGGGGGAGCATTGAGGCACTGACAATAAATGATGAGCATAATAGGTAAAATATATATCCCGTGTGCAAATTTAATGTGGAAAGGGTGCCTTAGTCAGTTTGGCTCAGGGGATAGAGCGTCAGCCTGCAGACTGAAGGGTCCCGGGTTTGATTCTGGTCAAGGGCATATGCCACGGTTGCAGGCTCAAGCCCCAGTAGGGGGCATGCAAGAGGCAGCTGATCAATGATTCTCTCTCATCACTGATGTTTCTCTCTCTCCCTCTCCCTTCCTCTCTGAAATCAATAAAAATATATTTAAAAAAATAAATAGGTGGCAAGGGTAAGCCTCATTGAGAAGGTAACATTTGGGTGGCCTCGAAGAAGGTGAAAGGATTAGCCATGCAAATATGTGGGGGAAGAGGGTTCCAGACAGAGGGAATAGCCAGTGCAAAAATGCTAAGCAAGAATGCACCATGGTGGGTTAGAGAAACAGCAAGTAGGCAAGAGTGAAGAAGAGTGGTGGGAGATGATGTCAGAGTTAGTGGAGGGCTAGGTTATGTGCTATGGAGGACCAGCGGGTTATTTGGTATGGCTGAGCACAAGGTGCAAGGAGGGGAGTTCTAGACTATGATATCATGAAGAGATATCATGAAGAGAATGGGGTACAA